TTCTCTGTGGCACTCGAGGAACCGGCCTCCTTGCTGCAGGAACGGGCCAAGAGCAGAGGGGAGTTGGCAGGAAGTGTGCTGAAAACAAGACCACCACATGGCCGGGGCCAGACCGGGAGCCCCTGGAGCCTGGAGGGCAGGGGCACTGCTATGTGACACAGGAGCCCACCTGGCCTGTTGGAAGGACCTGGATCAGCATACAGGGCAGAGGAGGAGCCAAGGTCCAGGGCCCAGGATGGATGCACTGGGGGAGCATCCTACCCCACCGCCCTCCAGTCAAGCATGTGCAGCTCAAGAGTCTCTGGGTTGTGTAACTTGGGCCACTCTAGCCCCCCATGTTCTCCTTAGAAGTGGGGGTGGTGCTTACTGAGGTAGGAGCCCCAAAAGCCACAAGGAATGCGGAGGAACAGTTCTCCAAAGGGAAGAGGGACACAGCAGTCCCAGAAGTCATGGAGAAGGGAGGCTGGGTAGATCAAAACACAAAGCTACAGACAGGAGGGGAGTCGGAAAGCCTGGACTTGATCCTGAGACACTGGAAGCCTCCGAGGGGCTTGAAGCAGGGAAGTTCCTTTATGAAATGTATGCTTCCAAAGACCACAGTGATTTAAATCCCAGCAAGTTCCACTCGTGTGACCTCAGGCAAACTGCCCACCTGCTCTGCGTCCCGCTTTCTTCTGGGGAATGGAATGATAACCGTATCCCCTCGGGATCTGTTGTGAGGTTCACGGGAGTCCACAAGGTTCACGGGGTCCTGATGGGGTCAGGGAGAATATGTTTCAGCTTGATGCGCAGGATCTTTATTTTTATCATAAAAGAAATTAAGTTCTGCTGTTTATACCTTGGGTTGACACTGGGTCCTCAGTATTGTAGGTCAGAGGGTTATGCACCAAAAGTGGGTGCCAAGGAAGGAGTGAGAACATCACACCCCAGAAAGCTGGACACACACACACACACACACACACACACACACACACACACACAGAGCTATGGGGACTCGTGTGGTTTTCAAACCACCCGTTTAGAGGGACTTACTGCTTGTTTTATCCAGTTAGATAACTCACACAAATGGACAAATGACATGAAGTTTCCTGCCAAGAAACCAAGAATTGAAGACCATGGTAATAACGCAAGCACCAAGAAAGCAGAAGAAAATGGCAACACCAAGCACCTCCAGGGCACAGAGAGCCTCAGGGCCACAGCAATGACCCAGCTAACCAGACTGAACAGAAGCCAACTACCACCACACACACACATCTGAAAATACCCAGACTCTGAAAATGGATTTACATCCGCGCTCGTTGAGGATGAGCTTTGCCGTAAGTACTCTGTGCTATGAAGTATTAGCTAGTGTTGGTGGCTTGCCTATTTTGGTTCTAAAAAACCTTCTCCTAATCGGGAGAGTGAGATCAACAATTTTTATTGATAGGCGAGCACAAGCGGAAGGGTTTGGCATGGTCTAGAAAGTGGATTAATGGAAGCTGGGCTCGCACGGAGAGAGGGGCTGGAGGTCCCTGCAGCGTCCGTCCCGGGAGAGGTGCTGGGAGCAGCACGGTGGAGACACTGAGGGGCTGAGTTGACAGGACCTCGGCCAGAAGGTGAGAGAGTGGCAGAGGTCACCGCTGACTCCAAGACCCTTGCCGATGTTCCACAGGCAGCTGGACACGTAATCTGGAGACTCGGACCTGAGGGTCTTCAGCATTGACAGGTGGGAGACTTGGTGCTCACTTAGACTTGGAAGTCAGGCAGGCAGACCCAGTCCTCAAACACTGGTTCTGCCTATAACCCACTGTGTGACCTTGGGTAGATGATGTCACCCTTGTGCTTTAGTTTACTCATCTATAAAACAGGGCATAATAATAGGGCCTACCTCGGAGGGTGGTAAGGATTAAATGAGAGTCTGTAAAATCGCACAGCACGTTAACACCCCAGCAAGGGAGGTGAAAGTTACTGTGGCTGGTGGGAGGGCCCGGAGGGAGGGAGGGAGGAAGGAGCATGGTCGGAGGAGGACTCACACAGAATCGAGGGGCAAAGCAGGTGAAGGAATGGGTGGCGTAGGAGCCAGAGGCGAGGGCTGGGCTTGGTGGAGAGGTGGGGGGAGGTCCCCTCTCCCGCTCTTGTCCTTTGTCCAGGGAGTTCCCTGGAGGCTGCTGGGGGTCACACAGCCAGGAGGTGGGCTGGCGGGAGGGGCGGTGGTGGTTGGAAACCAAGGCTGCCTGGTTCCAAAGCCAGTTCCCAGCAGAAGCTCCACGGAGCATAACAGCTGGTACTCAGGGTCCAGGGAGCTGGGTTTGGTGCCCAGTTCTTCACTTACTAGCTGTGTGTCCTTAAGCCACTTATCCCCTGAGCTGATTCCCCATCTGTAGAACAAGATCTTATCCCTTTCCTAGGGTTTGGGGAGATTTGAATGTAAGGCTGCTTGGGAAGAGACCTGAGGCTTGCCACACCCACAGGGCTGAGTGAGCTACAAGACCCGGCCTGGATCAACCCGGAGTGGAGGAGGGCACCAAGGAGGCAAGAGCCTGGAGAGGAGCTGCGAGCTGTTGGCCCAAGAGCTTGCAGGATACATTGTAATGAACCAGAGCAAGTCAAGCTTGCTGCTGGTGGCAGTCCCTCACACCTATGCTCCAGAGGGCCTTGGGAGCCAGACTGCCTGGGTTGGCATCTCATTTCTCACACTCCCTGTGACACTCAGCTGTGTGCCTCAGTTGTATCAGCCATAAAATGGGAATCCTTAGGGTACCACCTCTTAGTGCGCTTTCAAGAATTAAATGACTCCAGGGCACCTGGGTGGCTCAGTCGTTAAGCGTCTGCCTTCAGCTCAGGCCATGGTCCCAGGGTCCTGGGATCAAGCCTCGTGTCCGGCTCCCTGCTCGGCGGGAAGCCTGCTTCTCCCTCTCCCACTCCCCCTGCTTGTGTTCCCTCTCTCGCTGTCTCTCTGTCAAATAAATAAAAATTTTTAAAATATATTTAAAAAAAGAATTAAATGACTCCACAGTGAAGTGTTTAGAACAGTGCCTGGCACATAAGCCCTGAAATGTTAGCTGTTTACTGATATTGAGTCCAAGAGAACTAAGGAAGGAGTGGGTGACCCTTAGAGCTCCCAGGATGGTGGTCCAGACAGGTTCTTTGAAGGAGGGCTCATCGCCTGCCCCTCTCCACTGGGCAAGCAGTGAGACAGGAGCAGAGCATGTGGGTCCTCAGTTTGGCGGGGTGCCAGGCTGACCTTGTGGGCAGCCACTCCCAGGCAGCACGGTTGCCCTTTCCTCAGCCTTTGTCCGCTGCTGAAGCGTCTCCTCTTTCTTGGGCGGCCTCCCTTCCTTTGTTGGCCTAGGGGGTCAGGACCGGCAGCCACCTGCATTATTAATGTTCATGGGTAAGGCTGGAGCCCCCGGGGGGGTAGACTGAGCCTGTAGGCCCCGCCAGGGCAGAACCGGTGTGGGCGCTGCCAAGGGCTGAGGGCACCAGGGCCTGCCAGATCTTCCGGAGAGGACAGAGACGCCGGGAAGCCCCTCTTCACTGAGCCCGCCATGGGCGGTAGCAAGGGCAGAGCGCCCCAGCGCCAGGACGGACCCGGGAGGCCGGCCTCCGAGGAGCAGGAGTCCAGGTTGGCCCGCGTGGCCGGCGCGCCTAGCCGGGAACGCCGACAGGGTCGCGGTAAGGCCCACAGGGCCAGACCAGTCTTGGAGCCCGCCACTTCGGGAAGCCACGGGACCCCTGGTGGCCGCCGGAAGCCCACCGCAGAGCAGAACGGCGGCTGCAGACGGCCAGGGGCTGGGCCGTCAGCGGAGGCCCAGCGGGGACTAGGCAGCGCGCAGTGTCGGGTACCCGGGTCTAAGCACCGGGACGGCCGTAGCGGGCGCCTGGAGGAAGAGAGTCTCCCCGGAGAAGGGAGGACCGGCGAGCTCTGCCGCCGCAGGAAGAGAGGAAAAGGGCGGAGACCCCCGGCTGGGCACGGCTGCCGAGAGACCCGGTGCCTCGACGGGGACGCGTCGGGTGGAGACGGGGGCAGCTCTTGCCAGGATAGCGAAGCCCGCGAGGCCCAGGAGAGCGACAGCCAGAGCAGTGGAGCCCCGGAGCTGCGGCCCAAGCCGGGGCAAACGGACACGGGCTCGGGAGACCCCCAAACCGGGTCGGAGCCTGCGCTGGAACACGGGGAGTGCCCCAGCAGCGACGGTCTGAGCAGCGACGGCGGGGACAGCCCTGAGCCCCGGAGCCGGGAAGGGTCGTCGGGGGCGGGACCCCGGGGAGAGAGCGAGGATTCCGGGACAGGCACGGAGTCGAGCCTGGAGGGGCCCAGGCCTGGAGGGGGCCCAAGGGCAGCCCCAGGAACGGCGAGCCGGGCCACTGAAGCCGAAGAGACTGAGCCGGGCAAAAAAGCCAAGGCCTCCAGCCCCCTCGAGGGAAGCCCCATGTGCTTCCCCCGGAGCTCGCGGGCTTCCGGGGACCCCGGGCCGGCCCGGGACTCAGACAATGAGGTGCGGCCGGAGGCTGAGCCGCAAGGCGACGAGCCTGGAAGAGCCTCGGCCTCGGCCGCCGGGACTCGGCGCCGCCAGGTCGGAAAGATGGTGGGGAAGGTGCAAGTGGCGGCGGGCGAGAGCGAATCTGGGGCTGGACAGAAGGACGAGCCCGGAAACCCAGCGCCGCTGGCCGCCCTCGTGGCGCTTCGCAGGCTCCGCGCGAAAGCCCCGCCAAGCCCGGCTCCCCAGGCCGCGGCTCCGGCTGCCCGCCGCGCGGGCCTTAAGGAGAGGCTCCTGCGCGTGGTGCGCGCCCTGGGTCTCCTGCACTGGCTGCGGCGGCGGCGGCGGCGGCCGGCCGGCGAGGGCCGGGGGGCGGGGCCGCGGGGGGGGCGGGGCGGGGTCACGGGCCCGGACTGCGGCGCCGGCAAGTGCTGTGCCCGGCGGGCGTAGCGGGACTGGGGGGACGGCCCAGGGCTCCCCCTAGCGGCGACTCGAGCTCCCCACAGTTTGCGAAGAGCTCAGCTCCCGGAAACCCTTCTGAGGATGAGGACTCGACTCCGGATCCCAAGTTTGCGGTCGTGTTCCCCAGGATCCACAGGACTAGGAGGGCGTCGAGCAGTCGGAGCTCAGAGGAAGCGTCCACATACGCCTCACCCGGGGAGGGGCACGCTTGGCCTTGTGCAGGAGCTTCGGGGGACAGTGAGGGGCGCGGGGCGAGTGGAGAAAGTGTGGCCGGGCCCCGCCGAGGCTCTCTTCTCCGCCCTACTCCCCACGACGAGCCCCCACTCCACGAGAGCGGCTCCAGCAGCGAAGCGGAGCCCGAGACCTTGGGGGCCGAGGCTCTGGTCCACTGGGCTCAGAGCTCAGAACCCCGCGAGGACCCCGGGCTTGGCACCGACGCGCTGCTGCCCCGACTCACCTTGGAGACCCGTCTGCCGTGGGAGAGAAGCCCAGGGCCCTGCGGGTCCCCGAGGGAGCGGTGGGAGCCAGAGGATGAGGCGGAGGAGGACCTGGAGCTGAGCCTAGGGCTGGGCATGGAGGGGCCGCCCTTCCTGGGCGCTGAAGGCAGGAGCCTTGGGGAAGGCCTGGAAGACACGGAGGACCTGGCTCGGCTGCGGTGAGCAGGGGGCAGTTCCAGATCTGTCTTGTCTGGGCCCCATCCTACCTCCATTTTTATAAATTGTATCCTTAGAAGGGATTGTACTTTTTAACCAAAGGTCTGGCTGGAAGAGGCAGGTGAGGCGTGAAAATCAGGCGCGCCGCCTGGGACTTGCTTCCCTAACTGGCACAAAGCTTCCCTCTGGTCAGCGGCCTGGTGGTGCTTGCAGCCCCCATGGAGTGGGTAACTCGCTTAGCAGCCGCGCCGCACCCTATGTTATGCTTAGGGCTCAGAGAGGGTGCATGACTTTGCCCAAAGTATCTCTACAGCCAGTGGCCGTGCTAACCCAGGACCTCCTTCTGCCCCTGATTCCCTGCTCCGCTCTCCTGCTGTCGCCACAGACCAGTGTGTAACAGTTCTGTTCTGCAGTGCCTCAAGAAGAGATTTCATCTGGGCCGAATCTACGTATGGGGGCACCTGGGGAGGGTTGAGGGGCTGGGATTCCCTGTCCCCTGGGATCTGAGGGCCCTCTGGCACTTCTAGAAGTTCTCCTTCCTTCTCCTCCCTGGGCTGGGTGCTGAACCCTTGCTGGGGACCTGCAGAGTGGGGGCCCGGGGCGGGGCTGAGCACCGGAGCCCCACTCCGTCTGTAGCCCCTGCTTCCTCTGTGTTTCCCCAGACCTTTGGAGGGCCTCTTCTGCTCTCTCTGAACCCCCGCCGGCCCCTGCCTCTCTTCTCAGCTGAGGTCCTGGCCAGCTACCACCCCAAGAAGGCCCCTAACACCACCCCATACGTGACTTAGCCCTACCAGCCCTCTGCTCACCACCGCCCCCCCCCCCGGGTGGCTAAGCCCCAGCACGTCCCACTGACCGAGATCCTGGGGACTGAGGGTCCTGCCTACACCTAGGAGGGCCCAGAAGCCCATCTCTGGTAACCTCCTCATTTGCTTCCTTCTCTCCTCCCTCAGACACATCTTGGCCATCGTGGTATCGGCCTATAGCCGGTCTCGGAGCACTGGGCAGGGCACATGCATTCTCCTCGGGTGAGTGGTGGTGCCCCGCGGAATCCACAGGCCACTCTGAGGGCTGGGAGGCAGGGGCCACGGTGTCTGCATTTGAAGCTGCTCGTCTGGTCCACTGCTGGGCAGCAGCGCTGGACTTTGTAAGGGCTGTGCTCTTGGCTAAAGTCATCCACGTGCCCCTGGAATGTGGCATCTTGGAGACTCCTTTCTCTTTGGTCTCCATGCCCTGGGTCTATCTCTCCATGTTTCTGGGGTGCGGGGGGTGGGTATCACTTCCAGGAGGGCATACCCCACTTCCTGGGCTCTGTGGGGTGTCCTATGTGCCCCTTCCTGGAGACCCTGTCAGCCCCTCCCTCCTGCAGTGGGCACAGTGGCTCAGGGAAGACAGAAGCTGCCCAAAAGATCGTGCAGTTCCTAAGCAGCCTGGAGCAGGAACACGCAAGGGACCGAAGATGTCAAGTGAGGAGCCGCTGGCCTTTTCCCGGGGATCCAAGAGGGACCATTCTTCTCCTTTGGGCCCGGAGGGTGGTCTCCAGGCGTCTGGCTTCTCCTTGGGGGCAGCCCCAGGCCTTGCCTACCGTGGGGCAGGATGAGGTGGGGTGGGACTGCCCCTCTCCGTGGAAGAGCACAACCCCCAGGCACAACGTGTCCTCAGCTGGGATGGCTGATCAGTGGATTCCACCACCATCCCGGGGATACTTGAATGCTCCTCCCCCAAACAGCTGGATGGTGTGCTGCTCATACTCAGCAGCTTTGGCCACGCCAAGACAGTCCTCAATGCCAACGCCAGCCGCTTCGGCCAGGTCTTCTGCCTCCACCTGCAGCAGTGAGTGACGGGGGTCCTGACGGGCACAGGGGACACTCATGATCAGTTCCCTTTCCTGGGAACCCGAGGCTGCTGCCCTTGGGTCCAGCCCCTAGTGTGTCCCATTCTGAGCAGCGCCCCTAGGTTGCAGGCACCCTGGGCACCCCCACCCACTGTCCTGTGCCCACAGCGGGGTCATCGTGGGAGCCTCTGTGTCACATTACCTGCTTGAGACCTCAAGGGTGGTGTTTCAGGTAAGACCTCCCCCCCGCACCGAGGCTCCCCTCTCTCTAGCTCCCAGAATGGGAAAGGGGGAGGGACCACTGTAGGGGGTTGTAGTCGCTAAGCCCCCCATCCCTGCCTTTCCCAGGCCTTGTCCTTGCTCCCCTGAGGCACAGGACCAGACCACTGCTCCCCCTAAGCCAGTCCTTCTCCCCCAAGGCCCAGGCTGAGCGGAGCTTCCATGTTTTTTACGAGTTGCTGGCGGGGCTAGACCCTGCGGAACGGGAGCGGCTCTCCTTACAGGGGCCAGAAACCTACTACTACCTCAACCAGGTGGGGGAAGGAAGGCCTGCTCGGCGCTGGGTGACAGGGCTTGCCCAGGGAAAGGTCTTGGCACGGGGGTCTGAGGAGTGGCCAGAGTAGAGGGGAGCTCTGGGTGGCCGGGCCCTGTCCCCTCACCCCCGTTGTACTCTGCAGGGCCAGTCCTGCAGTCTCCAGGGCAAGGATGATGCCCGGGACTTCGAAGGACTGCGGAAGGCCCTGCAGGTCATGGGCCCCGAGGAGGTGACCGCTGCCTGGGCTGTGCTGGCCGCCATCCTGCACCTGGGCAACATTTGCTTCTCCTCTTCCGAGGTGGGCCCCTGCTGTGGCCGGTGTGGACGCTGGATCAGCCGTGGCTTGTTTGCATAATCAGGGCGGCAAAGATACCAAACACTTGTAGGTAGATTACCAAGCCCTGGGCTACCCCAGGGCCTCACAGCGGCCCTGGAGAGCGGGCAGATTCCTGTCATATAGGTGAGAAAACAGGCCTGGATCATCTATGCCAGCGCGGGTTCCGCTAAGCTACCACCCCTACAGGGGAGACCTGCACTAAGTGAGCAGCTATTATGTCCCTGGCACTGTGTAAATCACTTTCTGTATGTTTCCTAATTCCGTCCTCACCACAACTAACTTTAGGGTTGTTGTTTCCCCTTTAACAACGAGACAGTGGAGGGGCGCCAGGTCAGCTCAGTCAGTTAACTGTCTGACTCTTGATCTCAGCTCAGGTCTTGATCTCAGGGTCATGAGTTCAAGCCCTGCATTGGGCTCCACGCTGGGCATGGAGCCTGCTTAAAACACAATGAGACAGTGGGGGCTCAGAGAGGGAAAGACTCTTGCCAGAGGCGGCCAGCTAGTGAAGAGGTAATTAGGACTCGAACTCAGGGCCCCCAGGCTGCAGAGTTGGCTCCCACCCACCCAGATCGAACTTGGGGCAACAGGGCAGCTCCCCGGGGCAGCGAGGCCCTGCCTCCTCTGCACCCCGCTTTGGGATGTGGCCGATCCCCAGCAGAGATCTCCCCGCCCCCTCCCTTCTCTGTCCAGCGGGAGTCCCGGGAGGTGGCTGCCGTGTCCAGCTGGGCTGAGATCCACACGGCAGCCTGGCTGCTGCTGGTGCCACCTGAGCGCCTAGAGGGGGCTGTCACCAGGAGGGTCACGGTGAGTGCTGGGCTCCTCAGGGGGCGGGGCCACCCACATGGGCCTTGCGCCTGTTGTTCCACGTGTACCTACCTCCTCTCCCCCTCCAGGAGACACCGTATGGCTGGGTCTGCAGGTCTCTGCCGGTGGAAAGTGCCATTGATGCCAGGTGGCCCTGGGGGCAGGAGGGAGCCGCGGCCGGGCCTGGCACTCTACGGCACAGGCTCACTCACCCTGCCCACAGGGACGCCCTGGCCAAGGCCCTGTATTCCCGGCTTTTCACCTGGCTTCTGACAAGGAGCAATGCGAAGCTGGCAGCTCCCGGGGAGGGAGAGAGCGTGGACACCGTCACTGTCGTGGACGTCTACGGCTTTGAGGTCGCCGCTTAGGGCAGGGCCTGGGACGGGTGGCCCACCTCATCCTGATCATGTCTGGGGTCAGCGCTGCCTGAGGGGGGCGCTCGTGAGCGCTTGCCTGCCTAGCCCTGAGACAGCGCACACTCCACAGGGGTAGTCTTTCTGCCCCGCTCTGTCCAGCCCTGACATCGCCTCTGGAGAGTTCTGTCCTGCTTGGCCTTACAGAGCCTCACAGAAGTCTCTAAGGCAGCGGAAGACAGAGGCCCTAGGCTAGATCAGCCCACAGCCTCCCCTCCCATGCCCCAAGAGGAACAGGAAAGGGGACAGTCCCCTGAATGGCCCTGAGTTTTCATAAGCTCTTCAACCCCTTTCTAGAAGATCCCACCTCCTCAGGGAAGGGAGGAGGGGGCCTGAGCAAGAGAAGGTGGCCTCCACCCTTGTTCCCGGATGGGCACTGTTCACTGTCCCCTGCTCTCTCCTCCCCAGCCTGCCCCTGGTGACTATATCCTCTCTGAGCGGGGAGGGGATGACGGTGGCAAGTGTGTGTGTGCGTGCGCACGTGCACTCTGTGTGTATGCTTTAGAGCATGTCAAAGCTCTCTGTACAAAGCCGCATGGAGTGCGGGCTCTGCTGGGCTTGTGAGTAACATGCTGGGGGACGCAGAGGAAGGAACCTGTAATCCCCACAGGAAGAATGCTGGAGGGCTTCTCGGAGGCAGCGGCCTGGAGCCCTGCTTATGAGGGTGTGGGATTCCGATAGCCAGCAAGCTACTGGGTCATAAGAAGAGGCGCTTTCCAGACCCCAGGATGGCTGTGACCTGTGGCCTGAAGGCTCGCAGTCGTTCTGAGGCAGAGGGAGCGGTGTGGGCTGAGGCCTTTGGACTTGACCCTGTGGGCTGCAGCATCAGCCCTAGGGCACCACTCCTCCCTGAGTTCTGGGAGGGCAGTGTGCAGCACCCCCCCGCCCCGTACCCCCGACACGTGTGGGTGCCCACGTCCTTGCTGCCCCGGTGCCCCCAGGCCCTGCGGGTGAACGGCCTGGAACAACTGTGCAGTAACCTCGCCAGCGAGCGTCTGCAGCTCTTCTCCAGCCAGATGCTGCGGGCCCAGGAGCAGGTGAGAGGCGCTGGGCCTGGCGGTGCCCGGTGGCACCCAGGCCTTCCCGAGCAGGGGCCATCCCTGGGAAACAGAGGGCGCTGAACTGAGAGCTCGGCCCCAAAGCCCCTCGTCCCGCCCCACCCCACTATGGGCCATCTCGGCCCTTCTGGGCCTCATCTTACTCATCTGGACAATGGGAGGGCCATCCCTGCTCTGGGTCCAGTGAGCTCCCCCACGAACGCGGGCGTGCTCTGGAACTGGCCCCGTGCTGCTGTTCCCAGGAGGCCTGTCGCCGAGAGCTGCTGCCCTGGGTGCCCGTTCCCCAGCCTGTGGGGGACACCTGTCTGGACCTCCTCGTAGACCAGCCCCACAGCCTCCTGAGTATCCTGGATGCCCAGACATGGCTGTCCCAGGTGAGCCCCAAGCGGTGGGGGCCCTGGTGGCCAGGCCAGGGGCCGGCAGGGCCTCCAAGAGCAGCCACAGGTGATGGGGGCCAGAAACCCTGCACATAGCTTCTCAGCACAGCTTGGGTTCAAATCCTGTCTCTGGGTGATCCTGACCTCTCTGGGGTTCCTCAAGTCCTTGCTGCGGAAGGGGCAGGGTGGTGGGCACTGCTCAGGGCTCATGCAGGGCTTGTGGTGGTCCCTCGGGCCTCCAACTAGTAGGGAGCAAGCCTCGGGGCCCTGGTCCTCCCATTCCACAAATACTCATTGATGACCCTGGAGGGATGCGTGGTCCGGGCAGGGGCACATCTTGTGCAAAGGCCTGAGGGAAGCTCATCCCTCTTGTCAGGCCACAGACCACACCTTCCTCCAGAAGTGTCACTATCACCACGGCAATCACCCCTGCTACGCCAAGCCCCAGCTGCCCCTTCCTATCTTCACCGTGAGGCATTACGCTGGGCCTGTCACCTACCAGGTATTGGGGTAAATCAGGGACAGACTCCTGGGTGAATCAGTGAGGGTGATGTGGCCCGGGTGTCCCTCCCCAGAGCTGACTCACCTGACAGCTAAGAGGAGTAGGTGAGGGGAGGCCCCTCCCAGGGCTTGACCATATGTTTCTGCCTATGCCCTTGGCCCTACCCAGTTCCTAGCATGATTTAGTGAGTTCTGGCTGAGCCCTGTGGGGTAGAGGGAGATGAGACTGGGAGCCTTAAGGCCAGGAGGGGAGGAGCATATGTGTGGGGTGTGGAAACCTGACTCTGATAACCTCTGGCTGTCTGCTTCTCCTCCTGAGCCTACATTTTCCCGCCTGTAAAATGGGAATGGGAGTCCTATAACACTGTTGTGAGGATTAAATGCAGTAATGGGGAAGTGGTCAGGCAGGTGCCTGGCACATAAAGGTGCTCATTGAAGGGACTCGCCTTTCCTCCTTCTGAGTTTCACGGTGATAGCACACCTACCTGGGAGGAGAACTGCCGAGGGGAGGGGGCCTGGTATAAAGCGTAGGACCATATGGTTAGTTTGAGGCAGGGTAAGTCCAATAAGGCTTCCTGGAGGAGGTGAGCTGTTTTGGTTGTAGAAGAAAACACAGACCACCCAGAAGTTACCCAAACAAGAAACCTAAGATTTATCAGTTATACCTCTGTTCCCCGCCCCCCAGAAAAACCCCAATCACATCTAAAAAAAACCACACACACAAGGAGATTGAATAAAGAAAACCACAAAACTATATTGAAGCTCACAAAAGAAAACATTTTTTTAAAGATTTTATTTATTTATTTGAGAGAGAGAGCATGAGCTGGGGGGAGGGACAGAGAGAGGGAGAGGGAGAGAAACAGGCTTCCCACTGAGCAGGGGCCCCAATGCAGGGTTCGATCCCAGGATCCCGAGATCATGACCTGAGCCAAAGGCAGACGCTTAACAGACTAAGTCACCCAGGCGCCCCAAGAAAACTTTTTTTTTTTAAGTAATCTCTACTGCCAACGTGAGGCTGGAACTCACGACCCTGAGATCAAGAGTCGCATGTGTTCCTGAGCCAGCCAGGCGCCCCACGAAAGTTTTAATTTTGATGAAATCCAGTTTAATTTTTCTTCTGTTGCCTATGCTTTTGGTGTCCTATTCAGGAAATCATTGCCAAGTCCACTGTCATGAAGCTTTTTTCCTACGTTTTCTTCTAAGAGTTTTAGAGTTCCAGGCCTTAAATTTAGGTCTTTGATCCATTCATTTTGGGTTAATTTTTATATCTGATATAAGAGTCCAACTTCATTCATTTGCATGAGGATTTCCAGTTTTCCCAGAGCCATTAGTTGAAGAGACAAAGGTGGCCCTTTCTTTAGCCCCGTGGGGAGAGGCAGGATTATGCGACAAAGGGACCAGGCTCCACCCCAGTCTTCTCTCTTTGGCTCCCCCTCTATTCCCCACATTGTTTCCTGCAGGTTCACAAATTTATAAACAGAAACCGGGATCATCTTGACTCTGCCGTGGTGGAAATGCTTGCCCAGAGCCAGCTCCAGGTGCCCCCCCACCCCTCCACACTGTGTCCCCCTGCCCCTTGGACCATGGGCTGAGCCTTCCGGGGTCTGAATGCTGTGGCCTGGCCCACCCTGGCTCCCCGGGGACGGGCTATGGACAGGCCTGGGAAGCGAGCCAGCTCAGCCTCCTCTTGCCCCACAGCTTCTGGGCAGCCTGTTCCAGGAAGCAGAGTCCCAGTCCAGGGCTGGGCCAGGGAAACCCACCCTGGCCTCTCGCTTCCAGCATTCCCTGGAGGACCTCCTAGCCCGGCTGGGCAGGTGAGAACAGTGCCCCCCCACATAGGAGACCCCAGGGACTCGGGGGCTGCTCTGCGCCCACACGACCCCCCTTCCTCCCATCAGGAGCCATGTCTATTTCATTCAGTGCCTCAAACCCAACCCAGGAAAGGTGAGCTCCCCCCCACCCCCCACCCACCACACCTGGCCCTGGAGCCTTCCCATCCACCTGCCCTGCCCTGCTCAGCAGCAACCCCCAACTCCAGCTCTCACTGGCTCTGTTTGGTGGCCACAGCTTCCGGGCGTCTTTGATGTGAGACACGTGGCCGAGCAGCTGCGCCAGGCTGACATCCTGGAGGCAGTGTGTACCCGCAGTGCCAACTTCCCTGTGCGCCTGCCCTTCCAGGCCTTCCTGGCCAGGTAGTGTCCCAGGATGGAGGCAGCCGAGGGCCCAGGCACCTCGGGCCGGGACTCACAAGGACAGCCCCCCAGAGTGGCTGGCAGACCCAGGGTTCCTCGGGACCCTAGGCCTGGCCCCCAGCCTGCCTCCTTTCACTGCTCTCTCTTCTCCCTCCGTGCCTCTCCTTCCCTGTTCACTATCCGCCCCCCCCACGCCTCTACCTGCCCCTCCACCACTCAGCAAAACTCTGCTGGGTGCCAGGCACCTAGTAGGTGCGCTGCAAGTCGTTGTTGAATGACTTAGGGGTGGGGGGGGAGCAAACGGGCGTGGAGGGAGGTCCCCTCTGTGCTTGTTCTGACCTCAGCTTCTCCCTCCCCGGGATAGGTTCCAGGCCCTGGACACAGAGGCGCGGGGAGAGACCTCTGACCGCAAGAGGTGTGGCGCCATCCTGAGTAAGGTTCTGGGGGCCGAGTCACCCCTCTGCCACCTCGGGGCCACCCAGGTGGGTGTGTGTGTGTGTGTGTGTGGAGAGGCAGGTGTGGCTGGGAAGGGAGAGGAGCATTCCGGGACAAACTCAGGAATGCCGGGGGAGGGGGGGTCCTTCTGGTTGGGGAAGCGATGGAGTGGGCCTGGGAGGCAGGTGTCCCGGGCTCCCCACAAGAATCGGTTGTCCTGCCGGAAGGGAGGAGGCTGAGGCCTGAGGAGAAGAGCAGGGTGGGCCTCGGCCCCCCCAGCGCGGGCACCCTCACCTCTGCCCCCAGGTCCTACTGCGGGAGCCGGGCTGGCAGCAGCTGGAGCAGCACTGGGCCCGGCGACGCTCCCAGGCCCTGCTCAGCCTGCACGTCAGCCTGCACGTCAGCCTGCACACCTGCATCTCCCGCCAGCGCCTTGGCGGTCTACTCCTGCCACGGATGCAGGCGCACGTGCGAGGGCTCCAGGCCAGGTCTGCAGGGGTGGCATGAGACTAGGGGCCTCCTCCAGGTGCTGGGGCAGGGTGTGGGAAGGGTAGGGCCTCAAGGAAATCTACCTGCCCCGGGGGTCATCCTGTCAGCATCCCCATGCAACCTCTGCTTGAACACCCTGAGTGACAAGAAGCTCACTCTCTGCTCAGGCCACCTGAACCTGAGTGTTTTCTAGTCTGTCCTCCACTCTGCCCCAAGAATAATCTTTTATCAGGCTATGTGAGGCCCTGCCCATCTCTCCAGCCTCCATGCCAGATTTTTATACTCCAGGCTCTTTGGACTTCTTGGTCCTATAGCACTTCCTTCCCCTTCTCATGTAATTAACGCCGGTTCACCTTCACAGCTTGATGGGAATGTCTGTGCTCCTTCACCCAGTAGCTGTGGGCTTGACCTTCTCCATTACCCTGGGCCCAGCGCTGGTGACCCCGGGATAGAGGCAGAGGTGGCGCCTCCCAGGTGCACTGGGGAGTCAGGTGCAGACAATAAACCAGCCACCAGTCACCCCCAAGGGGGTGGTAAAGGGCTAAGAACAAAGTAAGGACAGTGCCATGGACCCCAGGGGAGCCTTCCGAGACAGGGCACTCATCACCACGCTCTATTTCCAAAATGTCATCACCAGCAGAAACACTGGATCCCTCACGCAATCATTCCCTGCTCGCCTTTCCTCCAGCCCCCAGGAAACTCTCGTCCTCTCTGTCCCTACGAATTTGCCTATTCCAGATATTCCATGTAAATTGGCTTGTACAATATTTCCTTTTACATCTGGCTCGCTGCACTAAGTGGAACGTTCACGAGGTTCATCCACATAGTAAAAGGTGGTAAGACTTCACTTCTCTTTGCCCATGGGTGCACGGACCACACCTTGTGTCTCCACTCATCCGTCAGCGGTCATTTGGACTGTTTCCACTTTCTGGTGCTTGTGAATAAGGCTGCTGGGAACATGAGTGTGCCAGTATATCTGTTGAACTCTCTGCTTCCAGTTCTTTCGGGTCTTTACCTAGGAGTGGAGTCGCTGGGTCATATGGTAATTCTGTGTTTGGTTTTTTGAGGAGTTACACTCCCACCAGCACGTGTCAGTTTTCCAATTTCTCTACAGCATTGCTGGTACTTATTTTCCACTTAAAAAAAAAAAAGGTTTCTTCATTTGAGAGAGAGTATGTGCGCACACAAGCAGGGGGAGTGGGAGAGGGAGAAGCAGGCTTCCCGCCGAGCAGGGAGCCCAATGTGGGGCTCAATCCCAGGACCCTGAGATCATGACCTGAGCCGAAGGCAGATGCTTAACCCACTAAGCCATCCCGGCACCCTTATTTTCCACTTTTTAAATGATAGCCATCCTAGTGGGCACGAAGCAGTACCTCATTGTGGCTTTGATTTGCATTTCTCTAATGACTAACGAGGTTGAGCATCTTCTCATATGTTTCTTGGCCAGTTGTGTAGCTTCTTGGAGAGATGTCAAGTCCTCAGTCTGCCTTTTGTTTGTATAGTTTGTCTTGTTGTTGAGTTGTGGAAGTTCTTTATACATCTTGGGTATCAAACTCTTATCAAATATGTAATTTGCAAATGTTCTCCCATTCCATGGGTTGTCTTTTGACACTCTTGATGGTGTCCTTTGCACAAAAGCTGTACATTTATTTTTTTTTTTAAGTAAACTCTACCCCCAACTTGGGGCTTGAACTCACGACCCCGAGATGTTCTACCAACTGAGCCAGCCGGCCACCTCAAAGCTATACACTTATTTATTAATTTTAATCCTGCTCAGGACCCCTTCCCTGAGGAGTCTCGTCTTTCTTATATCTGGACAGTTTTCAAAGACATGATCTCTTCTGTGATCTCTTATTAGATTTCCAGTGATAACATTTTTTCATTTTTAGAAGTTTTGCTTCTTAAATAAAAATACGCCAGACACTTCTCAACATGTCAGTTGATTGACTTCATCTTGTGGTGGGGCAGGGATTACACGGATCCTCACTTTGCAAATGAGGACAATAAAACCAAGAGGAAGGGACTTACCCACGACCACACTGACCGACTGGGTGGGAAATGAGCCCGGCGGTCGGCTCTGCCACCTGAGACCGTAATCCCCAGTACCGAACACCTTCTCAATGTACTTGTTCTTTCCAGCTGTCCTGTCCTTTCCCTGTGGCTTCTGTTAAGCACCTAGGGGTCGTCAGCCTGGGGTCTGTGTCTACATTCATGTCTTGGCTTGGAGGGTTCGGGTACCGGGTCTAAGCTTGAACTCCTCCCCAACCCCCTTCCCGGCCTCCAGGAAGCGGAACCTCTGGCAGCGGGCAGCTCTGGGACAGCTGAACAGCGTCCTGCTGGTGGCGTGGCCCCTGCTCCGGAGGCGACAAAGATTGCAGGTATCTGGGTGGGGCTGCTGCCCCTGGCAGCTCAGGGCAGAGAAGTCAGGCAGCCTTGCTGGTCAAGTTGGCCGGACCACAGCCAAGTCCACTCCTGGCCCAAGTGCACGAGGACCGAGGGCTCAGAGACCACGGCTGGCCCAGCTCTTCCCATTTCCCGCTGCCTGGCCAGGGGAGGCCGGGACCTCCGGGAGGTCACTTCCTTCATCCCTGCCCACCCTCCAGAGTCTCAGTCTCCCCTGCCTGCCTGGGGTGCCTTCCCATCCTCTCCAGACCTTCCTCAAGGCTGGCCTGCTTCCCTCTTTTGCCTGATGACTCCAATGTGGGGGCCATAAAGCCGCTCAAAGGTCAGCGCCCACATACTGCTCCTTTCTGTGGCCCCTCCCTGGCTGGACTTTGTCCCCTGGCACCATTTCTTCCTACCTCCTCCCCAGTGCCCCAGCAGACGGGCAGCAGCGGCCAGTGAGGGCTCCAGAGGGTTGGCGGCAGGCAGCCGGCCCCTCTGGGTCTGGGCTAATTTCTCCACTGGGGGCCGGAGGGGGCAGCTGAACTGCTGAGGTGGGGCGGATCTGCCAGGAGGTTCACGGAGACCCCTCACCGGGGCACCAGCTCCTCTCGCATCTCCCTCAGCAGGTTGGGCATCGGTGTGGCTGGCACAGTGGCCCAGCCTCCAAGACAGTGCCAAGCATGGTAGGTGGCCTGGAAGCTCGAGGGTGTCCACTGGCTTATGAGCCTCCTGAAACTGGCGTGGCTTGCGGACGAGTGTGGGGTCCTGGGTGTGCGTCCCTTGGGCCCCCCAAGACGAGGCCTGGGCCACCCTTGGTCTCCCTCTTGAGGGCTCTTGGGGTCCTATTTGTGTCCAGGATCAGAATCCTTGGTCTTTGGAGACGTTTATGGTCCTGGGGGTGAGGAGGGACGCTGGGTCCCTGTACCCGCTCCTTTAGTACTTTGTCGATCGCCCCTCTCTGCCAGGAGCTGGGGCGCTTGGAGATCCCGGCTGAGGTGGCCGTCATGCTAAAGACAGCGGAAGGTGGGTTTTGGTTGGTGTCCCTCTTACCATGATCCCTCGCTCCTCCAGTCTCTCTGCTGTGCAATCGGTCTGTCCCCGCGGTCCCTCCCTGTGATGCTCTGGGCTCCCCCGGGCTCTCTCTGCCCCAGGGCTGGGGGCGGGTGATGAGGGGTAGAGGCGGTCCACAGCCAGCTGCCTTACCTCGGCCTTTCTGGGCTGCCTCTCGGCACTTTCCCCAGGCCATCACCATGCCTTGGTTGGGAGCATCACCGAGTCCATGCCCCCTGAAGTTCCTGCCCGGACCAGCCTGACCCTCCCACCAGACATCGACCAGTTCCCGTTCTCCAGCTTCATCTCCACTAACTTTCAGGTGGGCCCCCAGACCTCGGCTCCCCCTGGCGGACCTCCACGGCTCCCCAGATATTAGCCCTGCCAGGCAGAAGCTGGGCTGTTCCTTCTTCCCACTCCACCCATCCTCTCCTATCACGAGGGTGATGGGTGCAGCCACACTGCTTGGAGAATATCCCCTGAAGGCAAACGTCTCACTCTCGAGAGGAACTTAGACCCGTGATGCCACAACTTTGTTACCCCTGCGGCATCATCCTGCCGTTGAAGTCATGTCATTAGCGTGTGTGTAACGATAAGGCAAACGTCCAGCCTGCACTGTTGGATACAAAAGCAGGATTCCAAACTGGACATAGAGTAGGATCCCAGTTTTGCTAAAAACAACAATAGGTGTGGGAGGGCAATGTAGGTATCTGTGCGTAGAAAGTGAGACTGGAGGAGCGCCTGGGAGGCTCAGGTGGTGAAGCCTCTGCCTTTGGCTCAGGTCATGATCCCGGGATCCTGGGATCAAGCCCCGCATCGGGCTCCCTGCTCAGCGGGCAGTCTGTTTCTCCCTCTCCCTCTGCTGCTCCCCCTGCTTGTGCTCTCTTTCTCTCTCTGTCAAATAAATAGATAAAATCTTGAGAGGAAAAAAAAAAAGCAAGACTGGAAAGAGAAGCTAAAATGTCAACTGTGGTCATGACTTGGCAGGGAAATAGTAATGGGTGTTTTATTCTTTATCCTTTTCCATGTTTTCTGAGTTTTCTGCATGCATGGACATCAATTTTCTAATCAGAAAGAGCCACTGAGATGCATTTCTAAGGTGGTTTTCCTCGCCAGCTCCTCTCCGTCTCCCAGGGCGCGTGCTCCCGTGGGCTCCGCCTGGGCTGTTTCCAGCAGGTCAGCACAGACCAGCACCTGCTCAGGCTCTGTCACCCCTCTCCTTGCAGGAGCCCGCCCTGCCCAGCCCTGGGCAGCTGCTGGCCAAGCCCCTGACCCGGCTGGATGGTGAGAACCCTCAGCATGCCCTGGATATCAACAAAGTGGTGAGTGACGCATCGGGGAGGGGATGGGGGGCACCCTGGCTCCTGGGTGCTGGCTGAGCACCAGGGGAGCCCTGCATGTCCTGCCTTCGCCTTGCTCCCTGTCTACAGCTGCTGAGGCTCCTGGGGGACGGGTCCCTGCCCCCCTGGCAGGAGCAGAGCATGGGCGAATACCTGGTGCGACAGGGCCAGCGCCGGCCAGGGCTGCGGGACGAGCTCTTCAGCCAGCTCGTGGCCCAGATCTGGCACAACCCGGATGAGCAGCAGAGCCAGCGCAGCTGGGCCCTCATGGCCATCCTGCTCAGCGCCTTTCCCCCCATGCCCACCCTACAGAAGCCACTGCTGAAGTAAGGGGCCTGCCTTGCGGGGCCCAGTGAGTGGGATCGGTGGACTGCCCACCCCCACAGCAGGCCTGTGCTGTCCCCGCAGATTTGTGTCCGACCGGGCCCCCAGAGGCATGGCAGCGCTGTGTCAGCACAAGCTGCTGGGGGCCCTGGAGCAGACGCATCTGGCCCCTGAGATGGCCCGGGCCCACCCCCCCACCCAGCTCGAGTGGACCGCCGGACGGCGGCGGGGCCGCATGGCTCTGGACGTCTTTACCTTCACTGGTGATGCTCACCTTCTGCTCAGGCCTCTCCAGGCCCACAGTGGAGCCAGCCCTGCCTCCTCACCCTCCCTGGACCCCCTTTCTGCCTCAGCCCTCTAGCTGCCCCCCCCCGCCCCGTGACCCTGGTCACAGGGTCCTGTCCTGCTGTCCTTCTGCCCTGCTTCTGGAACCTGCATGGGGACAGCAGCCCCTTCCCGTCAGGAAGGACCTGCTGCCCCTCACTCCGGTCCCCACCCCTTGTCCCTACAGAGGAATGCTACTCAGCCGAGGTGGAGTCCTGGACCACGGGGGAGCAATTCGCCGGGTGGATTCTGCAGAGCAGGTACAGGAATGGGGAGTAGCCAACACAGACCCCTGTCCCTTCCTCATCCTCCCCGCCCACTCTCCTATTGGGGGGCCTCCTGAAAACCCAGGGCCAAAGCCTGCTCCCCGAGGGCGTTGGGGGGGGGAGGCACGGAGGGGTAAGCGGGCAGGAGCCAGACAGTAGGTTCAAGCTAGGGAGCAAGAGTAGAGGTTATATCTACAGTCCAGATTCTAATGAAATAGGTCAATAAATAAATGAGTGCATCAGAGCCGAAGCGGAAGCAGAAGGTCATGAGGTGCGAATAAAGGAGAGCTGTCTGAGGAAACCAGTTCCTCACCCAGGTTCTGCCTTCCTCAGCCGCCTCCCCTTGGGGACCCTCGGGGTGGTTGTCTTCCTGGCTGATCACTCCCTATGGCGCCCCTCTGTCCCTCCCAGAGGCCTGGAGCTGCCCCCGCGTGGCTGGTCCGTGTCACTGCACTCCGGGGACTCCTGGCAGGATTTGGTGGGCTGTGACTTTGTGCTGGACCTCATCGGCCAGACTGAGGACCTGGGGGACCCAGTCAGTCCCCACAGCTACCCCATTGCCTCCCGTGGCTTGTAGGTGCCACCCCAGCACCCCTGTCCCAGCCTGTTCCTGTCTCTGTTCTGTCATAGGTGACCCCCATAGCCATGCTATCACACCCTGGGGTTCACAGGACCTGCTACAGGCCCAGCAGCCCCCCACACACACCTCATCTCCCACCCCATGGGGATGACCCCCCACAGCAGCTTCTATTCCTTGCCTCAGCCTGGACACCACCCCTATCCAAGGCACCCCCTTAGCTGGGCCCATTGTCTCCTGCAGAGCTGAGGACATCCCCCCTGCCCCTGGCATCCAGGCCCCTTCATTGCCCCCAGGTCCACCCCCGGGGCCAGCCCCAGCACTACCCAGCAGGAGCCAGTCAGGTAAGGCCAGAATGGGCACAGTGAGGTTGGCAGTGCAATGCGAATGGGGGTGCAGGTTGCCCCACACCCCGGGGTGACACCCTCCTCTGGCCCCACAGGGGAGTCTCGGACCTCAGAGAACCTGGATGGCTTCCTGGACCACCTCTTCCAGCCAGTCCTCTCCCCAGGCCACAGTGTGAGTGTTCTGCACACACACCCGACCCCATCCCTGCCCCTACCCCACCGGGGCCTCCAGTGCCTCTCCCATCTCTCCCAGGGCTCCAGTTCTGACCCTGTGGCCCGTGGCCTTTTGTCCCTACAGGATCTGGAGCAAGGCTGGGCTCTGAGCAGGCGCATGAAGGGAGGGGGCGCCATTGGGCCCATGCAGCAAGGCAGCTACCCCATGGGTGAGTGCAGGGCCGAGCATCCATCCAGGGTCTCCCCAGCCCAGCAGCCTGGGCAAGCACGGCCCGGGAACCCCAGGCAACTGGGGTCAGAGCTCCAGCCAGCACCCTGGGGCCCATCCTCTTCTTGTTGCCTGGGGCTGGAGGGAGGGGGTCTGTGGGCCCAGATAAGAATCGACCCCAGGGGGGGCCCTGTTCCCTCAGTTTACCCAGGGATGATGCAGATGCCCGGATACCAGCCAGCCATGATGCCTGCCCCCGTGCCCATGATGCCAGCAATGGGCGCAGTCCCTGCCATGCCAGGTAAGGCCGGGTGGCGGCTCCCTTCCCAGGTAGGGACTGGAGGAAGGGAGGTCCTCCCCGGGGCCCAGAGGGCGCAGTGGGCAGAGGACCACGTGCCAGCTGGGCACTTGTATGCCACTTGCAGCCATGGTGGTGCCGCCGCCGCCGCCGCAGCCCCTGCTTCCCAGCGTGGACCCGAGGCAGCTGGTGGCCCAGCAGCAGAACTTCATCAACCAGCAGGCGCTGATTCTGGTGAGGGTGGGCAGGGCCCTCAGAGGGCCTCGCGGGGCCAGGTCTGCGGGGCAGAGCCGGAGCCGCTCTTACCGGCCCCACCGCCCCTCCCCCCCCCAGGCCCAGCAGATGACCGCCCAGGCCATGACCTTGTCGCTGGAGCAGCAGACACAGCAGCGCCAACACCAGGCTCAGCCTCTGGCCCGGGCCCCCGGAGCTGCCTCGCCGAGCTCACCCCCAGCCGTCGCCCCCAAGCCCAAGAAGCCCCTGGCCCCGCGCGGGGAGCCAGAGCAAGAGCTGAAATCGGTGGGTGCCTGTCTGGGGCCGGGGGGGAGCCGAGGCCAGGCAGGTGGCAGGGCTGCGTGGCGGGGAGACCCCACAGGGATGGGGCGGGGGGGGCGGTGCTGGGAGAGGGGCGACTTGGCTGGCAGGGCTGCTCCTTCACTTCCCCTTCCTGCCCACAGGAGACCTCACAGGAGGCCCGAGAGAAGCCCCAGCGGCCCAGGAGCTTCCAGCAGAAACAGGACTATTTCCAGAAGATGGGTGAGGGTGCTTGGGGTGGCCAGCCTGTCCAGGAGCCTGCTGGGCACGCCATGGAGAATAATCGGGTCATCTGGGGCACTTACAGGGCAGCAGCAGATCAAGGTGAAGACAGTGAAGCCTCCACCCAAGGTACAGATCCCCCAGGAGCAGGAGCAGGAGCAGGAGCAGGAACAGGAACAGGAGGAGATACCAAGAGCAGGTGGTGGGGACACGGGGGGCAGGGGGGCCCTGGCCCGTGGGTCTGTGCAGGGTCTCACATGTTTCCTCTCCTCCTGGTCAGTGCCATCCCCCCCACCTCCCCCCATAGTGAAGAAGCCACTGACACAAGGTAGAGTCAAAGCTGCACAAGAGGCTGAGGCTGAGCCAGCGGCCCCGGGGGTGGGGCCTGGTGGTCACCCTAAGCCAGCCCCCCAACAGCGGGCAGAGCCAAGCAGGGAGATTCGCAACATCATCCGCATGTACCAGAGTCGCCCGGGCCCCGTGCCCGTGCCGGTGCAGCCATCCAGGTGGGCCTCGGGGGCGACCAGGGCTGCCCACTCCCCAGGGAGTCACCCTGTGGGCTTAGGACCTCTTCCTTCTCTCAGGAAGCCCCCGAAAAGTTTCCTGAAGAAAAACAACCCTAAGGATGAGGCTCTGGCTAAGTTGGGGATCAGCGGCGCCCACGCATCCATGTCGGTAAGGCCGCATCCCATCCAGGACATGGCTTCTCACCTCGGGAGTCCAAGGCTCTCTGGGGTAAATTTGGCGTTAACCCCTAGACCCAGCTGTGTACGTTCTTTGTGCCTCCCCAGATGCCATCCCCCAGCCCAGGGAAGGGCCCCCCACCAGCTGTGGCCCCTCGACCCAAGGTCCCACCACAGCTTGGGCCCTCCAGCTCCATCAAGGAGAACCAGACTCCGCCTGCTGCCCAGGCACCCTCACCTCCACCAGCGCCCCCGCTGCCTCTGCCTGAGGAACCAGGGACCCCTTCAGCTGGGCCCCGCGGTAAGGAACCTTCTGTCCTTCTGTGGTGGGCTTCGTTGGGGCAGGGCAGGGTTCCCAGAAGCCTCTCAGTGCTCAAGGCTGTGAGGTCAGCCGCTCAGGCGCTCAGGGCTCTGGACTTTGGAGCCATGGGCGAGGAGCCCCAGCTTCCGCGTTCCCATCCAGGGCAGGGCACGGGTACCTCTGGGGCCCTTGTGGCACTGAGGGACTGTCTTGGGGTATTGTCCTCGGTGCATCCTGGCAGCTCCATCAGGAACTTAGTGGCCCTGCTGACATGGTCAGGGACAGCAGGGAAAACCTGAGGGCTGGAAATGGAGGCCGGAGATGGGGTGTGGGCAGGAGGGAGGCAGCAAAGGTCGAGCAGGCCGAGCCCTCACAGGTCCCGAGGGAGGGCACAGTCTTTTGTCTCCGTGTCCCCTCCATTCTGGCTCTGGCAGCTCCTCACCTGAAGCTCTTTGGCCCCTCCCTCTGCCAGGCTGGATGGAGCCCATGGAGGACCAGGGAGTCTCCACCCAGCTGCTCGTGCCCTCCGGCAGTGTGTGCTTCTCCTATGTCAACCCACCCTGGAGGTTGTTCCTACGCAAGGAGGTGGGCACAAGGCCGGGGCCGCAGCCGGGCCTCTCTCTGGGCTGGGGAGGGGTGGCAGGCTGTGGTGGGACCCCAGGATTTCCCCATTACACAAACACTGGGGGCTGCCTCCCCACGACCTACCTCCTCAGGTCTGGTTTTCCTTCCAGGTCTGGGAGGCAGAGGTGGGCTGGGAGGTAGGTGTGGGGGGGCCATTCCCATCTGTTCTCCTCGCCCCGGCTCTCCTGCAGGTGTTCTACCCCCGGGAGAACTTCAGCCACCCCTACTGCCTCAGGCTCCTCTGTGAGCAGGTGAGAGCCCGGGCCACCTGCGCCATGGGCAGATGGACTGCGCCCACACCTGGGCCAGGTCACCACCAGTGCAAGACGCATGAAGGCAGCCAGCACTTAAGAGGGCATGGGCTGTGTTTCAAGCCCTGCCTTCATTTACTTCATCCTCACCACATCCTTGAGAGTAAGGACCATTATTGGCCCGCAGTGAGGATTCAAAATAAAGTGTACACGGTCCCCAACGCAGGCCCTGGCACACAGCAGATGCTCCCTGATGCTTGTTCCTGTGCCACGCCTGGATGCTCCCAGAACCCTGCCTCTTCCCCCAAATTCCATCAGTCTCCCCTCCTCCCCCGCCATGTTCTGTTCCTTCAGGAAATTCATCTCAGCTGACGGAGCAGCAGTAACCCGCTAGTGCGGGTGATTGAGGGAGGCGAGCGGGAGGCGAGGGGCGGCCCTGGGCTCAGAGGCCCCACATCCCTCCCTGCTCCACCCGTGCTCATGAGGCTCTCCAGCTTTTCCTCCGTGTGTGGCTGCTTCCATGGTGGGCTCTGGCACCGGGATCTGGTGGTGACCTCTTGGCTCTGCCCCCAGATCCTGAGGGACACCTTTGCCGAGTCCTGCATCCGGATCTCCCAGGATGAGCGGAGCAAAATGAAAGAGCTGCTGGGTAGGGGTCCAGGGACCCGGGAATCAGGGGCCTAAGTGATGGGACTAGGTCTGTCTGGAAGGAGGGGGAAAACTCTGGGGTTCCCCCTTTGAGGGAGCCCGAGGACAGTCTGGGGTCATTCCTGCCCACAGGAGACCTGGAGGTGGGTCTGGACTCGCTCAACACCACTGAGGACAGTGTCAAGAAGCGTATCGTGGTGGCCGCTAGGGACAACTGGGCCAATTATTTCTCCCGAATTTTCCCTGTCTCGGTCAGTGAGGCTGGATGTAGGGCTGGGGACGCCAGCACCCCAGTCTGGATCCCAGCACGCTCACCATGGGCCTTTGTGGCAGGGATGAGAGCCGGGGCTGGGGTGGGCCCCAACGGAAGGACGAAGAGCAGCATGGGCCCTGAGCAGCCCCGGGGCGTCTTGGATGGTGGTGGGGACCAGGAGCCTGTTTGTGACCCAGCCACCTTCCCTCCGGGCAGGGCGACAACAGCAGTGATGTGCAGCTGCTGGGCGTGTCCCACCGGGGACTGAGACTGCTCAAGGTGACCAAAGGCTCCGGCTTCCACTCAGAGAACCAGCTGAAGACTCTGTGTTCATACAGGTGAACCTGGCCCGGGGGCTGGGCCGGGGTGGGGGGCTGGCCTGGGGGCTGGCAGGGGCGAGCCGGCTCTCCGCTCATGCCTCCGCCTGTGCACAGCTTTGCTGAGGTGCTGGGCGTGGAGTGCCCGGGCATCTCCACCCTGGAGCTGTCACTGAAGAGTGAGCAGCTGGTGTTGCACACGGCCCGGGCGAGTGCCATCAAGGCCATGATTGAGCTGTTCCTGAGTGAGCTCAAGAAGGCAAGTGTAGGCTGGGCAGGGGGCTGGCGGGCAGCTGGGCTAGGGGACCCGGGCCGGGTAGGGGGGCCTCCGCCCGTGCTGTGTCTGGTCTGGCTGGTCCCAGAGCTGTCAGCCAAGCTCCTTCAAGCGGCCCGGGGTGGGGCTGGGCCTTCAGGCCGGATTCCTGGAACTCTGGACTGCTGGGTGGGGAGTGAGGCCAACAGGGGAAGCAGGTGGGGCCGGAAGGACTGGGGTCACAGGCAGGCTGGCTCCCTTGCCTGCTCACCCTCCTGCCTGCAGGACTCCGGCTACGTCATCGCCCTGCGAAGCTACATCACCGATGACCACAGCCTCCTCAGCTTCCACCGTGGGGACCTCATCAAGCTGTTGCCAGTGGCCACGCTGGAGCCCGGTATCCCTGGGGGCAAGCAGGGCAGCTGGCACAGGGCGGGCCGGCACATAGCAGAGCCTCGGAGGGGCAGAGGGGCCAGGTGGGTGAGGCGCTGTCCTTGGATGCCTTCCAGGCTGGCAATTTGGCTCCACCGGGGGCCGTTCTGGACTCTTCCCTGCCGACATAGTTCAGCCAGCTGCTGCCCCAGACTTTTCCTTCTCGCCAGAGAGGAGTGGCCGGCACAAGAGTCAGCTGCAGCACAGTGAGCCGGGGCTGGCTCAGTGGAGGAGGGCAGAGGTGAGGAAGACGGGAAAGGTGGAGGCGAAGCCTAACTAGGAGTCGAGGACGGAAAGGGCTCGATTGCCCCTGAGTGGCCAGAACCACCTGCTACGTGGCGGGTAGCGCTTGGTCTGATGCTGCCCCTCTGCCCTCTCCTGATTTCTTGTCTCCCCAGCAAGAGTGTGAGCCCCCTGTGGGCAGGGGCTGGGCCGTGCGCCCTTTGTGCCCCCTCGAAGCACTTCGTTAAGTGCTGCCCTAGAAGATGCTCAATAAAGGCCTCTGGACTTCCCTGGCTTCTGGTGGTGTGCTCACTGCTGCTCTGCCTGCTCCTCTTGGCTCGGGCTGGGCGGGGGGCTGGGCAGGGCCTCCGGACAGGCCGGTGGCCCTCGGGTGGCATGAGGTCTCCTGTGCTCCCAGTGCCATACCCACCCCTGGAGCCAGGCACACAGCAATGACTCTGTAGCCTCCATCTCTCTGTCCACGGACTCCCGCCACTACACCATGCAGGAATTTGCCCTGTACCACTTCCGGAAGCCCCAGACCTTGTGAGTGCCCTGGGCCCACCCTTCTGCCCGCCCATCCTCGGCCTCCCTGAAGTGGGCCTCCCCGCTCGGAGCCACCAGGCCAGTGCTCTTAGCACCCTCCCTACACAACCTGTGATGGGGGCGGGAGGGCCAAGCAAGCAGGGCTGTCCTTCCTTCTGCCCCCTCAGGCTGGACCACACCGGTGGAGATGCTAAGGAGCAGGCCATGGCCAGCCTGGTGCAGTACAGCAAGGTGAGAGAGACAGGTGGGGAAGAGTCGGACCAGTGGACCCGCCCTTTGGCTCCCATGGACTCCAGACCCACAACCCAGTCTCTTTGGCCACAGGATCCCATACGAGAATCGCTCAACAGCCTCAGTGATGAGGACACAAACAGGCAGGCTGTGGAAAGCTTCCAGGGTGAGTGACCATAGCATCCTGGGTCCCCATGTCTGTGGTGCCTCGGACCTAGGTGCCAGGTCGCCTTCTGTCCTTGTTTGTCAACTCAGTCACTGGCGGTTACTGAATCCCCATAGCTCTCACCTATTTCTACTCACTCCCAAGGGGTGGTGGGTTGCGTGGAGTCTAGGCAGGAAGGCAGTGCTATGTCCAGATGGCTGTGTGCTATAAGCAGCCTCAGGTGCCCACGGAACCTCTCTGAGCCCCGTTTCCTCATCGGTAAAGCAGAGACTGCTCTGCCCTGCCTGGCTCACATGCATTTTTGGGAGCAAGGCATGAGATGACAGGGAAAGCCCTGTCTGGCGACAGCATGAGCCAAAACCAGGCCCCCAACCCAGCTTACCATGCTTCTCATCCTGCCTGCAGCTCTGATGCAATTTATGGGGGACCAGCCTAAGCCCCGGGACAAGAATGAGTTAGAGCTCCTTCATGACCTCCTGAAGGTAAGCAAGAGCTTGTGTGCTGAAAGCTTTGGGTGGGATTCTGTGTGCCTTGAGGGTCTGTTCCTGTCCTCCTGCCTGGGCCTGAGGGGCTTCCCCCTTCCCTCAGTCACTAGTCATTCAAATCATCCAAAAGTATTTTGGGGGCATGGCAGTGAACCAAGCAGGCTCAGTCCCCACAAAACTTACGATCTAGTGAGAGGAGACATCTGACCATGATGCAATGTGTCTAAGAGTAAAAGGTGCTGTGGGGCATGATACAGCAGGGAGGGGGCTGCTCTAAGGCAGAGGCTCAGGGGCAAGGTGACCCTGGAGCAGAGATCGGAGGGAAGCTGGGGAGAGAGGCATGTATGCACTGGGGGTATCACATGCAGAAAGGGGCAGGGGCAACAGTCCTGATGAGGGTGAGCCTTAGCACCAGCAAGGCCAGCGTGGCCGGCGTGCCCAGGGAGCAAGGAGAGTGGAGGATGAGGCTGGGGAGAGTCAGCAGGTACAGCTCATGGCAGGCCGTCGTAGGCTACTCTTGGGACTCTGATTTCTCAAGAGAGATGGGCACTCACTCGAGGGGGTGTGCAGAGACTGGCTTACATTTTCAGGGGGCGCTGTGTGCCACCCCTCCCAGGGGGATAGAAGTGCCAGAGGAGGTTATTGCAATGATCACAGGTGAGGGGTGCTGAGGGCCAGGCCGAGGTAGCAGCAGAGGGGAGAAGACTCAGAACAACAGGGTTTGCTATGAATTATACGTGGGGTGTGATAGAGAGGGGCCAAGGATGTCATGGAGGCCTTGGCCAGAGTAAAGACCGTCTTCGATATGGGGGCCTAAGGGAGGAACGGGTCTGGGTTGGTGCAGGAATCTGTTTTGAACATAGGAGGTATAAAGTCCAGACTTCCAAGCGGGGGGCCTGGGTTCAAGGGAGAAGCCTGGGCTGGAGGCCAGCACTGGCAGTCATCAGCAGGTAGGAACAGCTGAGATCAACAGTGCAGGTAGACTGAGGCCCAAGGGCACTGCAGCCCTGGAGGTCAAGGAAATAAGGGCAGCCAGCAGAGAAGACAGGGCTGAGCAGAGCCCATAAGCAGATGAAGACAGTGATTTAGACACAAGCTGTGTCCAAGACCGAGAGGTGGCCCCGGCCTTGGCTGTTGGCAGGATTTCTCTGACTTTAGCTCCCATGCCACCCTGCCCTCTGCTCTTCCGTCCCCACAGCTGTGCCAGGAGAAGGAGAACCTCAGGGATGAGATTTACTGCCAAGTCATCAAGCAGGTCACCAGACACCCTCAGCCGTGAGTATGCAGGGCTGGGGGGCAGTGGCAGAGGGCGGCCCGAGGCTGGGGCATGGTCTGGCCAGCCTGAAGCCCAGGCTCTCTGCCCTGTAGGGAACACTGTGCTCGCGGCTGGAGCTTCCTCAGCCTCCTGACAGGCTTCTTCCCCCCGTCAGCCACGCTGATGCCCTACGTAACAAAGTTTCTGCAGGATTCAGGCCCAAGCCAAGGTGCCTAGGAGAGGGCCTTCCAGGCTGGGGTCTCAGCAGCTTGGGGAGGGGTTTGGAGATGCTTGTGACCCCAGCCTGCTTCCCCTCCGCAGAACTGGCCCAGAACAGTCAGGAACACCTCCAGCGCACAGTCAAATATGGGGGGCGCCCACGGCTGCCCTCCCCGGGCGAAACTCATGCTTTCCTGGTACTGGAGGGGGGCAGCGGCAGCGGTGGTGGGTACAGGAGGCTGGGCATTATGGAACTCCCTGGTGGGGGACAGGGAGTTGGGGCTTCTGGCCACTGGTGGACTGACCCTACAACCTTCTTGGCAGAAAGGGCAAGGAATCCGCTCGCTTATAATTCACCTGCCAGGGGGTATGGATTACAAAACCAATATCCGGACTTTCACGGTGAGCATGGGGCCAGGGAAGAGGGGCTGGGGAGACAGGAAATCTGTGGCATCAGTTCCGAGCCTCGCTCCCGCCATCACACACGGCCCTGTCGACATGGCCCAGGTGGTGGCAGAAGTGCTGGAGGAGCTATGTCTGCAAATGGGCATCACAGACCCCCAGGAAGTGCAGGAATTTGCCCTCTTCCTCATCAAAAGAGGAGGTGAGCCCCTCGCCTGGGGTGGAAGCGGGGGGCCAGGCTGGGTTCCAGGAGGTGGCTTATCTACCAGTTGTGTGCGTGCAAGTGAGGCAAGTTCCCAGGCTGGGGCTGGCAGGACTGCGGGCAGGGCTGGCCCTGGATGTCAGGGCGGGCTGTGGACCCGGGCTCCCCACGCAGGCGAGCTGGTGCGGCCCCTGTGGCCCCACGAGTACCTCAACAGCGTGGTGGATCAGGATGTAAGCCTGCACAGCCAGCGGCTCAGCTGGGAGACCCCGCTGCACTTCGATAATCCAACCTACATCACCACCCACTACATGCAGGTCAGCTGCTGCCCCCTCACCGCCCCCCCCGACCCCATCCCCCAACCCCAGCCAGCTGGTGGCTTGACCCTGGGCTGCAGCTTGCAAATGAACCCCTGCCTGGGTGGGGGATGTCCAGGCCTCCCTCCCCTCACTACTGTCCCCTCTCAGGTGCTGCGGGACTACCTACAGGGGAAGCTGTTGATCAGCCCCCAGGCCAGCGCCCGACTCGCCAGGCTGGCTGCCCTGCAGCACCGTAGCAAGGCCCAAGAGGACCCCCTGTCGGAGTGAGTGTGCACATGGCCCCACACCTCCTGCCACCCCTGGTCCCTGCTGGTGCTGGCCTCAGCACGTACCCTAAGGGCCTCTCCTTCAGCCCCCGCATCCCCCACCCAGTATTCCAATGTCGAAGCCGCTCGACTTGTACCCTTCATGGCCTTAACCTGATGGGCCTGGAGTCGTGGAGGCTATCTACGCCTGACCTGCCCACCCCAAGCTCCTCATAGGCAGGGTCCAGGCCTCATTCGTAAGTTCGGATCCCCAGGCTCACTCACAGTAGCCCCTGCTCATTTATTTAGCGCCTGCTGTATACCCAGCTTTGACTGACCAGTCTGTGTCCTAGGCAAGACCTGCTGGCTTACTTGCCAAAGCCACTACAATCAAAAGTGAACATACCCATCATAAAGAACCTGATGGACCAGGAGCTGAGGCAGCTGCAAGTCTGCAGCTCCCAAGAAGCACAGATCAGCTTCATCGGTGGGTCTGGGGCCCGGGAGTTGCAGGGGCCGAGGCAAGAGGCCCAGAAGGGAAGGGAGGTGGAGGGGCTGAGAAAGCTTCTCCACCCGCCCTGCCCCGCTCATCCAACCTGGGGGCCGAGTCGGGCAGGTCCCAGGGCCTGAATGGCCAGAACACCTATCCCGTCCGCTCCGTTCCCAGAGGCTGTGAGCCAGCTGCCCCTCTTTGGCTACACTGTCTATGTGGTGCTGCGGGTGAGTCAACTGGCCCTGCCCAGACCCAGCCTCCTGGGACTGAACTGCCAGCATATCATCCTCATGGACCCCTGCAACCAGGTGGGCAGGCTCCCGCCCCAGTACTGGTCTGAGCACCCTTGCGCCATTCTCCCGTCCCCCGTGGTGACCCCAGGCTCTGCTGTCTCTGCTGCCCCAGAAATGGTGCTGCTCCATCGCCCTGAAGGACCTGCACCGGCTCCACCTGCTGAGCCCCCTGGAGAGTAACGGGCCCCCTGGCCTGGAACTCAACTATGGCTCTGCTGACAACCCCCAGACCATCTGGTTTGAGCTGTTCAAGGTGAGTGGCTGGGGCCTCTGACGACAGACACCCTGGCAAGGCGGGGAGTGCCTGACCCGGGCCTGGCATGCCCGAAGCCTGGGCCCATGCTCATGCCTGGGGCTCGGATGTGGTGTGGGCCAGGACAGAGCGGGGGGGCACACTGGGGAGCCCTGTCCTCACATGACTGTTCCCCGGGCAGGCCCAGGAGCTGAAGTACACCATCGCCTTCCTGCGGGACAGACTTGCTCCCAACTAGTGGCCAGCCTCACCCAAGAGGAATGGAGGAGGGGAGGACATGAGGAAGGGGCCCCCTCCCAGGTCCAAGTCTGACGGGGAAGGTCTCCCTTGGGTGCTGTCAGGCCATTTTGGTTTGGACTTCCCCACTTGGCTGTTCTGGAACCTGCCACAGCACAGTGCTGCTGGCCCACGTGGAGGCCACGAGGCAGGAGCAGCTCCAGTGACATCAGCTAAGAAAGCAGCAGGACTCCCCCTGGGGGGGGGGGCCTGGAGTGGGGGCTGCAGGAACTCGCTTGGGCATCTGATGCTGCCCAGGCTGGGGAAGAGGGGTGCCCAGCTGGCCCCAGGCCCTGGCTCAACATCAGCATGAATCCAGGCCTGGGGGAAGCAAACAGTGAGGAAATAAAACTTCCAAGAGAAAAAGGCTGTGTTTGGGGGGGGGGTGTCAAAACCAACAGGACTTTATTTCTCTGCTAAGTCTCCATCCAGCCCAGCCTTCCTGACCAGGAGCTGAGCAGAGAGCAGGGCCTGGTTGCTGCCCTGCTCCCAAGCTCTGCACCTGGGGCCAGGCCAGAAGCTGGCAACGCAAGGGAAAGGGGTAGTGGCCCAAGAACCCGCGGCCAGCAGGGCTCTTCCTGAGGCAGTCCAATGCGTCGGACAGGTGGCCTTGCCCTGGCCTACAATTCTTTCCTCCTGTTCCCCTGGCAGCAGCCACACCCCCCGCCCCAAGCTTCTAATCTGGGAATCTGGTTCGGAAAACCCAGCCAAGAGAGGCAGGGAGGCTAGGCGGAAGAAGACCTGAGACCCTGCAAGCAGAAAGTGGCTGGCCTGTGGCCCTTGGCCTTGATTTGGGAGGCGACTGGGGCCATCTCCAAAGCAATGTATGGTTGGAAGGTATGGCCCCGGAGCAAAGAGGATGGCCCTGATGGCCGCAGGCTCCCCACCTTTCCCGTTCCTGAGCGGGGCCCGGGCCTGCAGCTGGGGCTGGGGGAGCACTCCGGCCCTAGCAGGCAGGAGCTGGTCATCTTTGTGGCTCACACAGGCCGTGCCAGTCGGCTTCACTCTCGCAGCGGGCCCGGCCGTGAAAAAACTGCTTGATGAAATTCTGGGCCTCTTCCTTCACTACAGATTCGGGAAGGAGCAACGTGAGGGCCAGGCCCCTCCCCACCACCAAGCCCCGCAAACACCTCCGGCCTGGTGACGTGGGCACTTACCGCTCCTTCCAGGAGAAGCCTTCTGAGCCAGTGAGTGTGAGAGGTGGCGGGCGAAGGCTTTAAATAATTCCTGGAGGCAGAGGGTGACAGGAGCAAAGAGCACAGACCCCTGCCCTGCCCCCTCCTCCAGTGGCCTTCAGCCATGACCCAGGGGCAAGGCAGACCCCAGAGAGGCAGGCAGTCCACCCCAGGGCTAGCCTGTTCTGCCCTGCTTTGTCCTCTGGCTGTGCCCCCTGCTCCCACGGCGCCCACGTGTCCCAGGCCCAGGGGAGGGCAGAACCCACCCATCTACCTTACCTTGGATGCAAACTTGCCCTCCTTATAGAAAGGGGTCAGGCATTTGACCACAACATTTGCAGCCTCCTTGAGGGAGATGCCAGGGGCTGGGAGAAGGCAGGAGTCTTGGGCTGTGGGGTTCAAGGTGCCCTGACTGCTGGCCGAGATGCTGTCCTTGGCCTCAGCTACGATGGAGGCATTGGCTGAGGGGCGGGGCCTCTTCCAAGCCTGGTTCTCCGGGTTCTCCTGTGTAGGGCCAGAGCGGAGAGTCACTCTTGGGTTCCCTGCACCGCCCCGCCCCTCGTTCTGGAAGCCTGGGCCTCAGCATCCGCTGGCTCCCTCCAGCCTGTCCCGTCTATCCCTGGGACATAAAAAGATGATTCTCCCCAAACCCCTCATCCAGAGCAGAACAGGTATCGGCCTGGTCTGCAGGCCGCCTCCCCTGTGGCCGTGTCCCTGTCAGTACCTGCTGGGGTCTGGACCGCTTGCCCCTGTGTGTCTCCTTTGTGGGGGTGCGCTGGCCTTCAGGGGGCCCCTGGTCTCTGAGTGTGCAGGCTCTGGCCAGAGGGGAGAGCAGGCATGAGAACTCCAGCCTCCAGCTGCACCCTCAGCTCAGCCGGCCCAGCAGCGCACACCCTAGGAACGGCCAGAGCTTCAGAGACCCAGTTAGCAAAAAGGATTCCAGAGAATTTCAGAACTATCAGGGCCCCTACCTTGGCCTCTCCCCGGTGCACTCCTTGGTCTGGGGGGGCGCAGCCAAACACCCCAGGGCTCCATCCTCCCTTGTGCACTTCTCTGGGGCTGCTGGGGGTCCCTGCACTCCCTCACAGGAAGGGCCAGCACCTTCTGCCCCTGGGGCTGAGATGAGGGGAGACGGGCTCCTGGCCCTTTGGCAGAAGCGGGCGATGTTCTGTGAATCCTTGAGGGCCGCTGCGGCTAGGAGCTGCTGCTTCTTGCTGGCCCGGGCCTTGGCACCGCCCCTGGAGGGGCTTTTCACCTTCTTCTCAGGGGAGGACCCCCCACAATGAGCACTGCTTCCAAGGGCCTCTCCTCTGGGCCCAGGGAGGGGCTCATTGCAGTCCTCCCCCTGGAGGCTGTGGGGCTGGCTCGGGGGCTCCTGCTCACCTCCCCACACTGGCTGCGGGGCTTGCTCCTCAGCCCACGTCTTCTCCATCAGCTCAGTGGCCGTCTGGAATGAGCAGGAGCCTCTGGGGAAACCAGCTCCTACCCGCTTGGGTTTGAGCTGTGAAGAACAGAAAGGGTTCTGAGGGCACTCATGGGCTGGTGCAGGAATGGCTGAGCTGGTGGGCTCTTGGGAGTGGAGGAGGGAGAGACCCAGCAGGACACCTCGGGGCGGTCAGGCTGAGCAGAGCACAGCTGTGGGGGCTGCAGAGGGAAGCTGACGGGTCTGCCACGGGGTGCCTAGGGCCAGGGCTGCGACGCCAGGAGAAGGCAAGCGGCCGTGCCCTGGCTGAGGACAAAGGACGTGATGCCTTTCCCAGACCCAGATTTGGGGTGGATGCCAGGACGCTGCTCACCGAGTACACCTGGGAGGCCGGCCGGATGTCATACTCGGTGGGCTCTGGGGGCTGGGCCTGTGCACTCCAACTCCTGGTATCACTCCCCACGTCATAGAGCTGCCCATCCTTAGAGGCTCTGTGGATCTCAGCCACCTGATTCAGGGACAGGCAGGGACGCCGTGATACCCACTAGCTCCTGAGAGCCCCAACCCAGGCTTTCCACAAGTAGGCTTCTGGGGCTCCTGGCTGCAGGTAACTGGACACTGGACAAATTCCAGTCCTGACGGGGTTGGCTGGAAACACCTCTAGCTGGCAAAGGGATGTCAGGCTCCCCTCATGTAAGCGGCCCCCTGGCAGCAGGAAGGCGGACAGCCTGGGAGGCTGGAGGGGCTGTCTCTCCCACCCTAGCCCAGAAGCATGCCCTGCCCAATGCCTACCTTCTTCAGCACACTGGCCTTGTACAGGTTGGCCGCCTTGGCATTTCGGAACATCTCATGTTCCAGCTCCACAGCCTTGGCCTGGAGATCAGGTCTGAGGGTAGGAATGAGCACGAGGTGTCAGGCGGGCCGGAGCCCTCTCTCTGTGGAGCTCCTATGGGATTCTCCCTGGGGACCCTGGAGATGACTTTAGAGCCTGGTGGGAACAGCCGTGGGCACAGGGATTCTGACTCGGACACCAGGCACCCAGGGGGCTTACTGTCCTGCAGGCACTGGCAGCCCCTCAGTCCTGGCAGAGCCTGCCCCCTACTGGGGCTGTGACACCTGCAACCACTGGGAGAAGGGTGGGTCACAATCTGGGGGTGCCCAAATAAGCCAGAAGGGATGGGGGTTCTTTTGGTCTACAAGGAACAGGGGCTTGGGGAAGCCTTTTTGGCCCCTGTGACCCGGGTCACTCACCCATGGGTGGTACCTGTGGCCTGGCGGTTACTGCTCAGAGCCTCCTCCAGAAGCCCCAGGCAGTGCTCACGGGCCTACACAGGGGAGGGAAGTTGGTCACTCAAACCTCAGGGTTGGGGAAGGAGTCCGGGGGGCGGGTGTGAGGAGCTGTCCACCACTTACCTTCACAGTGAGTCTGGGGATCTTCCTGCTAGAAGCCTCTTTCAGGGGACAGTCCTCATCTGGGGGGCGGGGGGGGCAAAGAGGGGTGGGTCCGTCCACTCTACCTCTGCTTTCTGGAGTCCCCAGCCCCCCAATGAGACATCTATACCCTAGGAATAGCCCAAGAGCCCCTGGGGACATTTCTGTACTAACCTGGGGGCACAAATTCTTCTATCTTGGGGTCTTTGCCCTGGAAGATGACATGAAGGGCCTATGAGGCATCTCACTTAGCTGTAGGACAGCCCCACCCCGGCCAGCTCCAGGGTAGGGGCTGAGGGCATGTGAATGGGGGGCCACCTGTGACCCCAGCAGGCCCCCATCCCCTTCACCTTGCGTAGGCTCATCTGTTTCTGGTAGAAGAGATTCCACTCCCGCTTGTGGGCCTCGTCTCTGCCCTCGTCCCCACTGCCTCCAGAACCTTCGTCATACCTAGGGGACAGGCTAGGTTAGGTGTAAGCAGCCCTGGGCCCGGGTTCTGTCCTCCTGTCATGCTTTTCTGGTAGGGCACTGATGTCGCTGATAGCCTGGCAGGGAGGAGCAACACCAAGATCCTAGCTCCGACATGGCCCACGGGGACAGGGAGTGAATGATGGCACTGGGGCACCTTGGCACAAGGGGGAGGCCAGCCTATTTGCAGTGGGTTGGGGGCCCCTGCCTGACTTCACAGCCCCTCACCTGCTGAAGCCCCCATAGCCCCGGCGGCCTCCCTCATACAGCTCAGGGTCAAAGCCATTCCCCTGGGAAGGCCCGATGCAAGTCTTGTTCCAGCTGCTTCTGTGCTCCAAGGCCTCCAGCTGCTTCCGCAGGGCCACAGGGTCCCGGCAGTGGTCACAGCCCTCGGTGCAGGCAGGGGGCGCATCCCCAAAGTACTTGGCAATGGCAGCATGGCGGCACCTGGCAGAGGCAGCACAG